TCTCCCCCTCCCTCCCAGGTTTGAGAGCCTGGGAGGGAGGAGGAGACCCCGAGCGGCTGCGGCGCGCGAAACAGCTGATTCGCGCGCCGCTGCTCCCCCTCCCTCCCAGGCTCTCAAGCCCGGGAGGGAGGGCGAGTAGCGGCGCGCGAGCGGCAGCAGCAGCGGAGGTGAGCTAGGGAGGCCGGGGCACATTTTTAGGGGCGGCATTCTGGCGCCGGCCATGCCGCCCCTAAAAATGTGCCGCCCCAAGCACCAGCTTGTTTTGCTGGTGCCTAGAGCCGCCCTGCACACATGCATCTCAAACCTAAACATTCTCACTGTTTCTGCATCTCGGTGACAAAGATACTTTCACATCTTTCATCTTTGATGTGTATATGATGTATACTTATATAGCTTATATCAATAACACGGTCATTTTTTAAAGAGCCAAGTACTGGCCTCAATCCACCCATGTGACTCAAGTTCTTCATTTAGAATGAGGCCACTACATGGCTTTAAATGATGAATGTACAGGTGTTAGCTTTACAGTTACTGTGACTTGGCTATGATTGTCTTTTCCTCCTTTACAGAATAATGCAGACGTTTGTTACACAGCAGTGGAAAAATAGCAAAGAAAAATCAAATTGTACGCACAATAAGAAAGTGTCTGAGAAAAAGGTGAAATCCCCTCTGCACATCTTTTCTACATTGCGCAGGTAATACCAGGCGAAATATTTTTATTATCACATGCTGTTCAGATTCCACAGCATACTTAACAAGATTTAGCAGTTTAGCAGAAATGTTGACTTTTCTCCAAAGAGAAGTATTCTGTTTATATCTTACCTCTTGGGTCTTGTGCCCTCACCTTGTATGATTTCAAGAACTAACTAGGAACTACAGCAGTTTCCAAGATTATTCTGGGGGGAGGGGGGGGAGCGTTTTCATGTCCTACCCTCTAAAAGACCCTGACTCATCTAGAACTGGAAATCACTCATTTTATACTGTTAAACTTGGCTGTGTGCGCTATTATTAGTTTAGTAGGCAGACTGTTATTTTATTAGCCATAGTTAAGGCTAAAATTTTGTCATGGTTATTTTTAGTAAAAGTCACGGACATGTCACAGGCAGTAAACAATAAAAATTCACAGAAGACGTGACCTGTCTGTGACTTTTGCTGCTGCAGCTCCATGGTTTCCCCCCACCACTGTGATGGCTGGGAGCTGTGGGGTTCCCCCTCCTCCCACGGCAGCTGGGAGCTGCAGGGTGAGCATATTTACCAAAGAGAAAACGGGACATCCCAGCCGCTCGCCCGAGTCATTACTGATATCTCAAGGAGTAGGGGCCTGATTTTCAGAGGTGCTGTGCAGTGACACCTCCTATTGATTTCATTTGGAAGCATGCATGCTCAGCACCTCTGAAAATCAGTCACCAGGCCTTGAAAAGCCCAATCCTGGAGGTACTTATATACATGAATAACTTTCCTCATGTGAATAGTCCTTTTGAATCCCATTGAGTTCATACTACCATGAGTAAAGTTATTCATGCACTTAAGTGCCTCTGTGTCTTTCAGGAGTGTAGTTCACCTGATGTAGCACTTTTTTCTATTTTTGGGGAGTTGGCTGATCACCCCCTCTTCGGGTTTGGGTGATCCTTTGAGCATCTCTGGTGCTTGATGAATTTCTTGTATTCTAAGTTCCACATGTAACAGTGAGTGGTACAACAGACCCAGATTGGCGATGGGTTGGATACTGTATCCATACAGAGGTGTCGAGGGGTATTTATATTTACAGGAAATAAAAGAGGAAGATGGCATTGTGAGCCAGAGGCTTTCGCACTCTGTACCAAACATTCACACAAGCTGTAGCATGTCAAAACACACACACACTTCCTGGGGTTTGGTTTTATTCACAAATTGAATACAAAAGCCAATCCAATCTTTCTCCCCTAGACTCAGCTGCAACTAAAATTCCTCTCCAAAGACTGTTTAGCCCATAAGCTAAGCCTCCTTTCTTTGTTAAGAGTACCATTCCCATCTCCCTTATATCCATGTATGGTAATGAATCATTTACAAGAGTGAGTCAGCACATTCACTGAACATTTTCCAGCAGGATCACCATTTGCTAACAGTATGGATAAACACTGCCAGCCTGTTAAAGGGATATTTTCCCTTGGTATTTAATTTCTCTTCTTTTTGAGCAAACGAAAAAGGTTTCACTTTGATATGAGGATGGAAAAAATGATTCAGGAAGATTTAATTTTGCCTGATACCAGCTCTCTTAGTACTAGGTAAACAATTTTAAATATTAGAAAAAATAGTCCAGATCATATAAATGTTGCTTCATCTGCACCTTGATTCTTTGTTTTCTTGATATATATATTAGGCCTGATTACCCTCTTGCATTACGCTGCCGCCAGTCAGGAATACACCGAAGTAAAACCACTTGAAGTGAGAAGAGAATCAAGCCAAATTGTCTTCTACAAAATAATCAGATTATTGGGGGGGGGGGGGGGAGGAGGTTTGTTTGTTTTTTGTTTTGTTTTTTTAAGAATTGTTTCGGTTGAGATAAATGTGAGTGACTAGATACAAGCTTCTGCAGAAGTTAAAATTCTAAGAACCCATTATATCCTGCAATTGATCTGCTTGCAAAACTCCTCTGGCTTGTGGTGTCAAGAAATTAGCATGGCTTGAAAGAACCATGCTATAACAATTGTGCAAGCGAAGTAGATTTACCCTTTTGATTGAAGAAGTCTATTGCTCCATGTGAAAAATATGGCCATGATTTTCAAAAATAGATGCCTAAGTAAGTGGCCTGATTATGAACTTAGGTGCCTAAATTTAGGCACCTATTTTTTTTAAATCATGGCCTATGCCTATAGCTAGTCAGATACACAGATATACATAGTACTTATTATATACTTTTAGGAATGAAATCTGTTTACAAATTTGCATAATCCATAAATGTCACTCTTTCTTTTGCGTTAAACAGATTTTTTTTAAAAAATACCTTGTTTATATGTGTATTTATATGTAAAGTTGCGTATTTATTGTTTCATGGAGTTTTTTATTGTTCCTGTACTAGGTTTTCCCCTTATTTATTTTTAAGGTCGCCAAGTTATCCTCCACCTGGCTGTGGTAAAAACAAATCAAAACTGAAATCTGAACAAGATGGCATCTCCAAAACTCACAAGCTACTGAGAAGGACTTGTTCTAGCACAGTTAAGTCCGAGGATGTGTGTGCCACAAAGTCTCACAGAACTTTTGGCCGTTCATTGTCTAGTGATCCTAGGGCTGAGCAGACTATGGCTATTAAATCGCACAAACTGTTGAATCGTTCTTGCTCGGCAGCTGTCAAGCAAGAAGAATGCATCACTCTAAAGCCCCAAAAACTCCTAAGCAGATCATGTTCTGGGGATCCTCGATGTGAGCACAATAGCACCTTGAAGCCTCACAAACTTTTAAGCAGGTCTTATTCCAGTAATCTTAGAATGGAAGAATTAGATGGACTGAAGAATCACAAGTTACTCAGCAAGTCATACTCCAGTGCCCCTAAGTCATCCAAAATGGAGTTTTTCAAAGAACCCACCATAGCAGAGGGCAGGAGGCTCTCTCTTACCTCAGGGCTTATTGGTATCTTAACGCCATCTTCCTCATCACCTTCGCAAGCTGCTGTGCGTAAAATCTTTATTCTTTGTGTTTGTTTTTCCTCTTGCTTGTTTTTTAAAATGGATTAATATCCAGGGCATACATAAATGCATACATCAAGAAGGATTTAACATTAAATAAAACACAGTGGAAGTTACCTTTTTGGTCAATATTAAACAAATACCTGCACACATACATATCTGTCATACTAACTGGGACCACATAGGCTAAGACCGAGCTTTTATGTCTACCCCTGAGTAAGGGACAGCATGCTGCTGCTGTGCCACAGAAGCAGCTCAGTCACATAGTTCCTTCCCTGGTTCCTCTCTTGCTCCATGGGGGAAATAATCTGCTGATGGCCCCATCCAGTAGTAAGTTCCTTCTCCCTTCATGCTGGTCAGCACATTGAAGGGAGTGGAGTTGAGGCTGTACCCACTCCTTGTAGACACTGGTGTAGGGGGAGAGTAATATTCAATGGGTGTTTGCTTCCTCCATAGCCTGTGCATAGACAGTGATATGGGTAGGTTGAGCAGGGGATTGAAGCCCATTTTTCCTCCTTGTGGCCACCTGGGGAAAGTCCCATACGTGCCCATACAGTTGTTCTTGTTTTGGGTTGGGAAACAAGCATTTTACTAAAATGGGGGTTAACATGCATTTTACTAAACATAGAAAATACACTTCAATGTTAGTTCTGTCTGTAACTGATCACTAAAAATAGGGAGGATGTTTAAGAGTAAGTAAGAGCTAGTTTGCTTTCCTGTTTCAAGGCATTGGGAAGCAGTGCTTGTTGTCTTACATGTTAGATGTGGGGAGCTGGCGTCAGGAGACCTGGGTTCTAGTCACAACTTTACCATTGATAAGTATGGTACCTCAGTTTCCCCACCTCGACAGAATTCTGAGATCCTTGGTTGAATGGTGCTATGTAAGTCTAAAATATTATTAAATATTCTAACTGTAATGAAATTACATTAATAGTGTTTCAGCCTACTCATGGTAAATTAGCCTAACAAGTCAAGTATGAGCAACTCTTGCTGTATCTAAAGGCAATAATATAGTGTGTCTTATAAAGCTGCTATGTGCATGTTACTTGGTTGTTTCTGTAACTTGTACAACCAAAATTAATGAAAGGTGAACTGAAAAGTTTTACCTGCTATCACCTATGTTTGGGATTCATTTTTCACTCTGAACCGTCGTCGATGGTGTCTCTGCTTTAGGGGCCTGAATAAGCTCCCACTTAAAGTCAATAGAAATAATCCCACTGACTTTGGGGAAATCAAAACTACTAAGAAAAACAACATTTTTGTCATAATACATGAATATTGAGGGAAATCAGCCTGTATGCAGTCAGGTGCAACGCCATTGACTTCAGTGGAATGGCATCAGGACTTAATCAGGCACTTTACTTATTAAAATCCTAGCTCCTTTCCAAAGATCTGCCAAGATACTTGGAGTGCTGTACAGGAAAAGCAGCAGCAGGGGAGGGAAAAGAAAGGTTCCACAAATAAGCAGCTTGGTCCATCTCCCACTGAAGTAAAAAAGATGGTCTGAGACAGATGTCAGGGGGAGGGAGTTCCACATCTTAGTGGCCACCGTAGCAAAGATACCTTCCAAAGTAATGTGTGATAACACTTTGAAATAAAGTGTCAGAAAGAAGGTCTGAGCATAGATACTTGTTAGGATGAGGATCAAGGAAGAAGTTTCATGAAAAGTATAGTGGAAAGAGATTTTCTACTTTTTTTGTTTTAAAAGGCATGTTAGTAATTCAAGTCTAAACACATAGTCCATATTATATATGTAGAGAAGCAGGATACACACACAAAAAATAGAGAATTCTATTCATTTTTAAAATAATTGCTTAGATGTTTGTACGTTAACATGGAGTCAAAGTACCAATGCTTCTTTTTGATATTAGAGTTTTTTAGGGTGTTTACAGATAAAGCAAAAACTCTCTAGGCAAGAGGTAAAGAAACAGATGAATTTATTGTGGCTAATCTATGCAAACTAGAGATATTTCCAGATGCCAATATCATTTAATTCACAGACCTTCATAGAAAAAAAATACAAATGTTCTTACCATTTCCACAAGAACCCTGCAGCATCTCTTCTTATTAGCTCTAGCACTGAAGTTGCTTGACCTTTTTTCTTACAGCCGAATTATGGTGCAAAATGCATTCCAATACGAGACAATGGCTTTCTTGTGCAGGTAGGATGTCATGCTTAATCTGTTTTAGAAACACTTTGAAGCAGGAGCTGTCTGTTAATTATTTTTAAGCAGATGTTATTGTTCTCACTTTCATTGTTCTCAGACTATTGAGTTTGCTGAGCAGCGGATACCAGTGCTGAATGAATACTGCGTAGTTTGTGACGAACCACATGTGTTTCAGAATGGCCCCATGCTGAGGGTAAGCTGAATGTGGCTGAGTTATGTGATACATATTTTTAATGTCTTAATTAGCCATAGACAATAAAAACCTGTTAGAATATTCTCAAGTTATTCTGGATGCACTGCATCACAATATTCTATTTGGATAAGATTTTTTTTTAAATGCACATTAGACAGAACAAGCTGTTTCACGGGGAAGTTAATTACTGCCCAGCCATTCCTGTACAAATTGAAGTTCAGGAAAACACAAGGGAGACAGCAGGAGTGGTCCCTAAACTCGCATGCCTGCTGCTCACAGGACAAGACTTCCTAGAGTTTGTAAACCTACTTCTGGTGGAGGGGTCAGAAGAAGGCAGTAGCTTCGGGACCAGTACTGTGGCTCCAGCAAATATCCCTCCTCTCATCTTCTCTGAATTAGCCCGGGACTTATTTTCTGCACCTGGGGATGAGAAAGGAGGCAAGATAAAGCACTGGGGACCAAAATCTTGGCCAAGAATCAAAAGGTGGTACTTGTGGGTAAGTGGTCTCATCCAGCAGGCAGGGATGCAACTCAGATAGCTGGTGAACCTGAGGCTGGGCCCAGTTCCACTGAGACCAATCCTGGGTATGAAATGAAAATAGATCTCCTTGAGCTTGGATGTATTGGTCCCTCATATAAGAATTTTGGGCAGGTCCAAGCCAATGATCCTCTATATCACAATATTAGAAAAGAAGTTGTTGAAGTGAACGGGGTCCTGGTTCATGGAAAACCCAAAGGCCCAGGGCTGTACTTCATGATAAAGAGGGACTTCTTATATAGAATAGTTTGACTACAGTAGCAAGAACTGGAGCAGCTTCTAGTACCCTGAGGATATTGAAGGGCACCCAGCCATTGTTTGGAAGACATTTAGGGGTAGATAAAACACTAGATAGAATCATACAAAGTTTCTTTTGGCCAGGAGTCTATATGGCAGTCCGATGCTATTGCGCCCCCTGTCTGGAATGCCAATTGCACAGCTCACAACCTCACTTAAGAGCCCCTTTAGTACCCTTACCAATTATTGACGTCCCATTTGAAAGGTTAGCAACGGACCTGATAGGCCCACTGGAGAAGTTGGCCCAAGGTCATCAATGTGTGCTCGTGCTTCTGGATTACACTACCCAGTACCAAGAGGTCCTACCCCTGTGAAACGCAATGTCCAAGATGATAGCAAAGAAGTTAATCCAAATTTTCTCTAGGGTAGGAATACCTGAGGAGATTTTGACAGATCCAGGGACCCACTTTGTATCAAAATTGATGAAGAACTTATGTGTAATGCTCCAAATACGGGCCATGCGAACCTCAGTCTATCATTCACAGACTGATGGCCTCGTGGAACGCTTTAACAGAATGCTGAAGAACATGATATGGAAAGCAGAGTCGAGATGGGAAAAATTGGGATACCTTGCTACCCTACCTAATGTTTGCTATAAGAGAGGTTCCCCAGCTTCCTCCGGGTTTCCCCCCTTTGAGTTGCTATATGGTCACCACCCCCACAACATATTGGCCTTTGCCAGAGAGGACTGGTAAGAAGAGCCCAATCAGGGAAGGAACATCATTGAGCGTGTGATGCAGATGTGGGATAGAATAGCCCAAGTCACCCCCATAATGCGGGAGCACATGTAAGGATCACAAGAGGCCCAACAGACCTATTACAATCATTGAGCAAAGGTTCAGAAATTCCAGATGGGAGATTGGGTAATGGTGCTGGTGCCCACAGGAGAAAGCAAGCTCTTCGCCAGATGGCAGGGGCCATACCAAGTTATAGAAGCTATCGGAGAGGCTGACTATAAGATTTGACAACGTGGTCACCAAAAACAAGAGAAATTCAACTATACTAACCTATTGAAGCTCTGGCAAGACAGAGAAACTTATATAGTCACCCTAGAGACACCACCCCAAAAAAATAAATCTCAGGGACAGGTAAAAATGTTGCCCAAATTGACCACTGAACAACATATAGAGGTCATCAAAATGATTGAACGGAACCATGATGTGTTCTAGGAAAAGCCAGGCAGAACCATAGAAATCCATTACCACATCATTACAGATCCAGGAGTAAAGGTGAAGGTTAAACCATATTGGATCCCGGAGGCTAAAAGAGAAGAGATCAGTATTGAAGTTAAGGGGATGATGGAGCTGGGAGTCATTGAGGAGTCCCATAGTCAATGGTCCAGCCCAATCATTCTGGTATCTAAGCCAGATAGTACAATGAGATTCTGCAATGACTTCCGAAAAATTAAATGAGGTGTCCCAGTTTGATGCCTCCTCCATACCTCGAATTTTCAGTATTTCCCAGAAATCCCTCTAGAAAGTACAGTAGAACCCCTATTTTATTAACTAATTTGGAATTGAGGAGTTCCTAAAATCAAAAAGTTCATAAAATTGTATACCTGAATTACAGTGGGTATAGTGCAGTGTATGATGCATTGCATTGCTTTCTCCTTGTCCTTCAAACCACTGCAAAGTGATTTCCAGTGCCCCAAAGGTATCGGTACATGAAGTGATAAAGACTTGTTTCAACATCACTTTCATTATGTGATTTTGTTCCAATCCCTGACCCTTGCCATTGAGAAAAATGGTTCATATAAATGGTCATTTTTCAGACTGGTGTTCACAAAATCAAGGTTCTACTCTATGGGGAATTTTCAATGGTTTCATAGACTTTAAGGCTGGAAGGGACCATTAGATATCTAGTCTGACCTCCTGTAAAACAGAGAACATAGAATTCCATTCAGTTACTCCTCCATTGAGCCCCTTAATTTGGGATGAATCCGAGATAAGAAATTCTGCATAAAAGGGTAACAATTAAGGGACTGCCTTGTGAAAATCAGCTTTGGGATTACTTTACTTGCGGAGCACTTTTTTGCCTGGATAAAAAATCTCAAGAGAGTCTGACTACACCTTGCTGAAGAGTCCTTAAGCACTGAGTTCTGGAGTAAACCCATGCTCAGTGTGGAGAACATGAGGTATAGGTTGGGGTGGCTCTGTGCTGGGAATAGACAGAGAAAGTAATCACTGTAAATGTGCTGAGAACTCCTTGGTTTGAGCTGGATTTCTAAGGTGAAATTCTCTCTCTGAAGCTTTGCCTTTTGCCACCTCTGTTGAAGATAAGCAGGAGTTGTGGATATTTAGTTGTATTTGTGCCTATACAGCCATTTGTTGGGCATGGTATAGAGCTGCAACATCCCAGCGGGAGCTCAGGGAGATACAATTCCTCACTGAGCTTCTTAGCATGCAGCAAGAGCATGATGTCTGCTATTCCCTTCAGACAATGCAGCATCTCTTTCAGCCTCATGCATCCCAACTAGGTCCCCTGACCGGTGCAAGGGATGGTGTCCCCTACCCATTCCTTTCCAGTGCTGCTGTGGTGTCTTGCATTTCAGGCCAGACATAGTGGGAGTTAAAGTGTGGGTGCCCATTGTGCCCTCATCCCCTCTGCTTGAAATCTTGCACCTGCAGTGCAACTGCAATGGTCTGTGCCTTTAAGAGATTTGGTAGATTCGACATATGCCAGGAAATAGAACCACCTAGATCTGATTGTGATGTAGACAAGGTGAGCTCCTTGAGGCCACAGTAAAGATCTGCTTGTTTGCGTCTGGTGACACAAAGTTCCTCCTCTATCTTGGTGGGTCCTGCGCTTATTGGCAGATTTTCTTGCCTCAGAGATTCACCATGTGGGTTGGGGAACAGCCCAGAGACCTTCCCCTCTGGAAGAACCCACAGTCCAGGTCAATTGGGAGGTTTGGGGGGAACCCAGGCCCGCCCTCTACTCCGGGTTCCAGCCCAGGGCCCTGTGGACTGCAGCTGTCTATAGTGCCTCCTGTAACAGCTGCATGACAGCTACAACTCCCTGGGCTACTTCCCCATGGCCTCCTCCAAACACCTTCCTTATTCTCACCACAGGACCTTCCTCCTGGTGTCTGATAACACTTGTGCTCCTCAGTCCTCCAGCAGCACACCCTCTCACTCTCAGCTCCTTGCGCCTCTTGCTCCCAGCTCCTCACACTCCCACCACAAACTGAAGTGAGCTCCTTTTTAAAACCCAGGTGCCCTGATTAGCCTGCCTTAATTGATTCTAGAAGCTTCTTCTTAATTGGCTCCAGGTGTCCTAATTAGCCTGCCTGCCTTAACTGGTTCTAGCAGGTTCCTGATTATTCTAGTGCAGCCCCTGCTCTGGTCACTCAGGGAACAGAAAACTACTCATCCAGTGACCAGTATATTTGCCCTCTACCAGACTCCTGTACCCCACTGGTCTGGGTCTGTCACACTGGTTACACCTACCCTGCACACTTCTTTCAGCCATGGTTAATGTACATATGCACGTAGACCCCTAGCCCAGGTATAAATAGCAGCGTAGACCAGAGGCATGGTTTGGGTGAGTAAAGTAAAAACATGTCTGAGGGGTGTGGGTATGTACCCGAGTACATAACCTACACGGCTCTCTACTTACCCAAGCCAGGCCTTCCTGTCTACACTACTATTTTTATCAGTGTAGTGTCCCGCTGCCTCCCCAGTTCTGGAGTCTTTCCCCACTGCAGGAAAATGCTCGCTGCAAGGAAAGGCTCTGGCAGTGGGGAGCTGCTGAAGCCTTTCACTGCTTCCTCTCCTCTGCCAGAGCCTTTCACTGGTAGCTACACACCACAGTGTGGACACAGCCTGCTTTTCACAGTGCCATGTAGCTACATGTACACTACCTGCCACCTCCAGGGGTGGCATCGTGTGGGTGTAGCCTCTGTGTTAAGCTGCCTTCGTGTCAGATACTAAACCAAAGACATTATAGCAGAAGAGTATAATCCTTTTTATTATTATTGCTGACACTGCGGTAGGATGTTAGGTTCTGTACCAACACTTACTAAAGGACAGTTTGTGATCCAAAGTTTATTCACCATCTAGCCATTGTAAATAAATAAATAAATAAAAAACCTAGGAAGAAATATTTTTAATCTGATCAATTTATTTTTCTTGAAATGAGTAATGGACTCAAAAGTCCTGACTTA